GATAATACTGGAATTAGACAGAACTGGGTTCCAGTCCTGGCTCTGAGACTTATTGTGTGACCTCAGACAAGTCGCTTAACCTCTCTGAATTTTATCGATGAAAAGGGCCTATAATATTTACTGCATAATGGCATCACAAGGAGTAAGTATAATGCATGGTATCACTCATGGTGGTGGTGATGAAATAGGTCTCTGACAGCTGCCATCAAGGACAGGCCTGCTTTGGTTATCTAGGTTAAGGCAAACAGAGTTGAGGGATAGCTGGGTAACACAAACAAATTATTTTCACTTCCTTTGCTCAATTTTAACCTCGCTCCACATATTCCTTTGCCCCTACATTCTTTCAAAAAATGTGTATTTGTGTCTAGCACTGTAGTTTCCATTAGGAATGCAGGGGCAAACAAAGCATGCCAGATACTGGAAACCTGGTGTCCAGTCTTACTCATTCTGCTTCCAGGCTACCATTTCTAGTCTGGATCTTTTCTATCTCAACCACCTGCCCAGAAGGTTATCCTCAATATCCTGGCTATTTTAGGCTCTCAAGCACTCAGTATTAATGGTGAGAGTGAGACTGGGAGTGAGGGCAGAGAGAAATCAGGTAGAGGAGAAAACAACAGGCTGGGAGTATGTGAATAAAGTATAGGGAACTTCAACCCTGTAACACAGCAAAGAGATTCCCAGCAACTGAGGGGTAACAGGCAGCACCTCCTCTTTTAAAGTACCTGACTTTGTGTCTGCATTACAATGATGAGGATTACATTTCACTGCTTCTCAACTATGCCTAATTATTCACAGCCCAGTAATAATTGTGCTGTAAGAAATGCTTGACTCAAATCTTTAATAATCATAAATGTCTTTATTAAAGAACACCATCTTGGGAAATAAGACTGTTGGATCTTAGTGCTAAACCTGCAATGTTGTCACTGTGTGCTCTTGGGTAAATCCCTTTTACCTTTGGGACCCCTGTTTGTTAGAGCAATTTTATTTAAAATTATGCCTGCTACGGTTTTAACATATAATCAATAATTATTTGATACTCCTTCCTATAGGAGGTAAAGGTTAATTCTCCTACCCTTGAATGTGGTTTGGACTTAGTGACTTACTTCAGGGAACAGAGTATGGAAAGGGAAATATAATCCATTTATAGTAGAGAAACCTAAAAAAAACCATTGTAATAGAGTAGCCAAGATTAGCATCACCTGTATAAATCATGTTGCAATCATGTGCTCCCTGACAGGATGAGACAAGAACACATCACCTCTTTGTGATTCTTTCCCTAAATCCACCACACCTCAGTCTATTCCTAAGAAAAAAACTCAGAAAACCCAAACTGAGAAACAGTCTACAAAATATCGGAAGACCAGTCTTCAAAAGTGTCAAAGTCATGGAAGACAAGCAAAGACTACAGAACTCTGAGAGATGGGAGGAAACTAAGGAACATGACCATTAAATTCAATGTGGGATCCTGGATTGGATCCTAGAAGAGAAAAAGGTAATTAATGAAAAAACTGGAGAAATCTGAATGAAATCCACAGCTCAGTTAATAGTATTATACCAATGCTAATTTCGTAGTTTTAACAGATGTACCATGGTGAGGTAAGATGTTAACATTAACATCTGAGAAAGTCTAGGTGAGAGTATGCAGGAACTGTCTTTGTAGTCTCTGCAACTCTTCTATAAATTTAAAATTATTTCAAAATTTAAAGTTTTTAAAGAAATTATTCCCGTTTTAACAACATGCATTTGTTATTTCCCAGGCAACAAAAGGTTATCAGTTTTTTAATTATAAAATAATTCAAATTAATACTCTAAATCAGTGACAGGGTGCTGAGAAGAGTAATTTGCACCCTTTAGCTGAAAATGATACAATCTATTTGGAAAGCTATTTGGTCTATGTGTCAAGTACCTTAAACTTCCTTATATCTTCTAGCCCAGAATTCCCCGCTTTAGTGAGATAACTCCTTAGAAAGTAACTAGAGGATCACGCTGAGAATTATGTACTATATGCAAGTTTCTCCACTGTACAATTTGCCATAGTGAAATGTAGAAGCAATCTTAACAGCAACACAGTTTTGAATAAATTATGGCACATTCATATGGTGGAATACTACAGCCATTTACAGGGATATTTCAAAAAATATTTTATAAGTAAGATAAATGCTTGTGATACAAAGTTGTGTGAAAAAAAGACAGAATCATATATAATCTACTTTCCATTTTTTCCATGCTAACCCTGATTTGGGATTATGTGTGAATTTTAATTTTTCTCTACACTTTTATACTTTTCCTGAATTTCCTGCAATGTATTCCTTTTGTAATAAAAATAAAATTAAAAGGATTTTGTGCTTTTACGGTAGAGGTACCGCAGGTGCATGCATATAAGTTTCTGCCAGCCTTCAGGAGGTATGGCGACCACAGCACATCCCACCTTCTGAAGCCATGCAGTACTTGGCTTTTCCTGCACTGCCTTGCTTTTGAAGGCATCTAAAATGTCTCACTTTTCCCCACACAACATTTCACAGCTGGGTCATTCTGCTGGACTCAGCACAGGAGGACCCTCTCTCAGACTGGTTGGAAATTCTGGACACATTTGAAAACTGTCGACACAATCTGTAAACACATCAGTTATGATGATTCTTTCCTAGGAATTTGACAAACCCAGATGAACTCTCTTGTTATGACAGGATCAGTAGTGGGAGAATTTCCTCTCAACAGCTCCCTCATTTATCCAATACTCAGGAAATATCCATTGTGTGTCTGTCCCACCAACAGGTGATGTGCTCAGCTTTGGGTATGCAGTGATTAATAGACATTTCCACCACCTACATGAACGGTACAGTCTAGGAGGTAGAAAGACATTAAATGAGGGAACACACAACTAAATTTGTGCATACAAGAGGAGAGGACAGCTATGAGATAAAATACTTGATTTCTATTCCATTAGAGAAAATAAAGGGGCCTTAGTTTAAATGGATCAAAGGAGGCTCCTCTGACAAAATGATATCTGAGGAAATCTGACGGAACAATGTTCCAGGCAGGAAAGAGCAAAGGCATAAGGCAGGCAAGAGACTGGTGAATTCCAGGAGCAGAACAAAGGCCAGTGTGGCTGGGATACTGTGAGTAATGGGATTGGAGGGATGGGTTGGATCACCATTGTCCTTGAGGAGATGGAAGGCAGGGAATGGATTTTGAAAAGACAAATGTCCATTAAGATCTGAAGCAAATGGATGTGGATATCCTCTTGCAAAACATCCTAACGAGAGGCCAATGGTCATGTTGAGCCTAAGTGTAAATCCCCTCTGAAAAAGCATGGATATCATTCTTTATCATTCTTATAAAACTTGGATAATCAAGGGTAAGAAATTTCAAATGTTTATTTTAAAAACTTCAAGTTACTTCTTGTCACTTGAAGATTTTAAAATAAACTTTTGAAATTCTGTAATTATTTTGTGATTAAATGATGTTTTTAAAATGTGATTGTTTCTGTGGCCTCCCAACTTGTAAGAAAGGAGAAATGTAAATTCAACATCCAACTAAAATGAGAACTGTATGTTTTATGAGAAAAACAGCTTCTAAACATAAAGTTAATATAAAAACATGGCACTAGCACTACTGTAATAGCACATAAAATGAATTACGGCCAAGCAAAAGAAAAAAGAGAAAAAGATGCATGAGCATAAGAGCATGGTTTTTTAAAAATTAGAAAGATTAAGTTAACCAAAAATTGCAAGGTTAATTGTGAACACCAGTTTCTCTCTCTCTCTCTCTCTCTCTCTCTCACACACACACACACACACACACGCACACACACATGCATGCAGACACACATACACACAAACATTTAATGCTTGTCACATATCGTACCTATAATGACTCTTCCAGATAATTTATTACTCTTACTTATAAACAGATCATGTTAAGGACAGTATGAATAATGTTTTCTATTTGCTTCTTCTTCAGAGAGTGGCCTTTTATTACAGTTACTACCTTTCAAATAATCTTGGACTACCAAGTAACAGGTATGAGCTGGAGGTGAATAAGCTGTTACCACTAAAAAGATGTCCCTGTACATCCCACCACTGTCCTCTCTACGGAAAGGGAATCCAGAGAATTGGAAATGTACCCCATGACAAAGAGAAGATCAACTAATTATTAACAGTTGTCTCAGTAATCAAAAGACAACGAAATAAAACAGAGGTCACATAGCTTGTTGTATCTCCTAAGAGCTACAGATAGTGATACAGGAAAAATTTTTGTAACTATGTGTGGTGATGCACGCCTGTAATCTCTGCTACTTGGAAAGCCGCCAAGGTGAACAATTGCTTAAGCTCAGGAGTTCCAGACAAGCTTGGGCAACATAGCAATCCTCCCCTTAAAGAATAAAAATAAAAGTTTTATGAACTCTAACTCAGTATCTAATGGCATTGACCACCACTTGCATTAAAAAGGAAATAGACACACAACTCAAGACAGAGGAAGGTCAATGAAGCCTCAAAAAATCATCCCCACCAGAAGAGGTCCTCTGAATGTGAGATTCAGATATGTCACAGGTACAGCATTGAATGAATCTCTTGAATAATTCCACAGAAATGTATTGCCAACCAAACTTTAGATCTCACTTTAAAACCTGGAAATTATTAAGTCTTAACAAAATCATAGGCAAGTTTCTCTTTCCCTTACTGGAATTTTCTTCTTCAAATACAAGAAGAAAATAATAGTATAATCCTCTATCGTTACATACAAGGCACACCCAAATAAATGATAAATTGTGAGGTTTCTACTAACATGAATATTATAGACACCTGGTGCTAATTCTCCACATCTGGTAATTTATGTTAAAGTTTCCTGTTTTCACCTCAAAATGTGTAGTTAAAAAGAAAACCCCAGTATTCCTTTAGGATTATTTTCCCCTAACAAGTAGGCAAAATAAGCCAACAATGAAATAGAATTTTTTAAGTTGTAAACCCATCAAGTTAAGATGCTTACACCAATATGGTTACCTGTACACTGACCACAATGACCAAAGATGTGGCCATGGTAACTGCAAAGGACTGGTAGTCAGAAATATGTTGCCCATCTTCTCCAGCCACGTTGTAAAAGGCCCCATAGGGAACGAAGAAAAGGACAAATGAGGTGTAGATTCCATGCAACACGCAAATGAAAAATCTACGCTTGTTAAAAAGTAGATTCAGCTGTCCCGGTTTGTAGAGCTGGGGACAGTCCATGCTGTTCTGGTCACTCACATCCTGTAAACAGAGTGTAATTTCAGTGAAGAAGGAATAAAAAGAGTCAGAGAGGGCTTGTATTCCCTATCTTCAGAAATAGCAAATGCCTGTTTAACCATGTACTAATATGCACTACTCACTGGGCCAGAACAGGACATTATCTTGTTTGCATTACCACAATAAACCAGAAGATAATAAAATGATCTCTACTTTACAGAGAAGGAGCTTGAGTCTCCAAGAGAGATTCATGAGAGGTCACACAGCTTGTAAGCAGCAGAACCAGGGCTTCATCGGAGCCTAGCTATTTGGCTTCAAATTGAAGTTTCTTTCCTACACTCTCCTGCAGGCTTTTAGAAGCATTCATGGTCCCAGAATTCCAGCACATCATGTGCAGACAATGGGCCCCAGAAGTTAATTGCCAAGAGAGTGAGTGGTAGTGACCAGGAGATGACAGCAGAGAGCTGTGGAGTCAGAATTGTCAAATCAGTGCTCGTGACTTTGAGGGAGGGGAGCCAGAGGAAGACCAGGGAAAAGGGGAAACTGCGTCTGGGATTCCAAGGAAGGAGGAGGCTGAGACTGAGGGTTGGGGTTGAGGATCATCCCCAGTTAGAATTTTAAGAGCAGTTACCAGGTGTTCAGAACAAAGAATTTAGACAGAATGAGAAGGTGGCACATTTGACACTAACCAGGTCCTGAGAGAAACTAAATGCTCTCAAACCTAATGTGCACACAAATCGCCTGGGAAACAGATTATGATTCAATAGGGCTGAGGGCCCAAGACTGCATTTCCAGCCAGCTCCAAAATAGTGCTGATAACAACAATGAGCACCAAAGCCAAATGTCAAAAACCAAAATCAACCACCAGGGACATCAGCAGACCATGGGTGGAGGAGAAGCAGCCAAAGTGGAAGCAACACAAGTGGTGAACTCTTGGGGGAAGAGAACATTCCCCTTCCTGCTTGTGGGATGGCCCAGGTCTCTCCAAACAGAGTCCCATGGAAAAACACTAGTATATTCTCTTTAGAAAATCGTTTTGTGATACTTTTGGGTGTTTGTTCCCCTAGTTCAGTGACTGAGGGTTATGTGCACAGGCTTTGAAACAAGACAGTCATGAGCTCAATCCCTGGTAATGGGTTTAGCTGGTGTGTAGTCTTAGACCTGTTACTTCATCCATCTGAGCCTCAGTTTCCTCATGCCCAAAAATGCAAATAGTAACACCTCCCTCATGGAACCATTGCCATGTTTAAATTAGCATGTAAAGTATTTAGTAGAGTTTTTGCCACATCATAAATGTGCCAGATGCTTCTATAAATAACAATTAATAAAATAACGATAATAACAACAACAACAGTAATAACGTAGCAACCCCAAAGTTAAGGGGCCCGGTTCCAGGCTTAGCTGTCCCACTTATTGGCTGTGTGGCTTTAGGGAAATGACTCTCCAAGGCTCGGTTTCTGACTTAGAAAACAATCAGATCTGGGGATGATTGCTGAGGCCCGTCTAGCACAGCATTCCACAATCCTGTGATCAGTTTAAGGGCCAAGGTTGACAAAGCAGGAAAAGAGAGGACACTCAACTTGATGGTAATAGGAAGCCTTATTATATTTTTTTTGAATTGCACAATAACCATCTTTTCCCAGAAACTGCTTTATTTTTATTATTTTATTCCACATTCTGGGCAGCTACAAAGCTCCAAGAAAAGAAACACTTGTAAACATGGGTACTGAAAAATGAATGCGTTTAATTCTTTACATCTAAGGTCTTCAGAAGTTCATTATTTTTTTGTAGAATTCCACAAAATATACCTTTTACAAACTGCCCTTTTTACATATGAGAAGGGAGACTTACAACTGACTGCAAAGCCAGCCGAATGAGAGACTGGAGTGAGCTCATAATGTGAAGATTTATATTTTGCAATAGACGGCTTTGGCCCAGAAAATGAGGCCTAACAAACGGGTTTAACAACAGCCTGGAGAAAATCTGGTCTCCTTAAAAATACTTTTTAAAAAAACAAAGAGCTTTTTTAAACATAAGACACTCTAATTGTGCCATGGAAACTCCACTGGCTAGTCTTTCACTTCCCCACAGGCAGCCAGATTTTTTTCCCCCTTTCCAGGAAGTCCCTTCCAAGGCTCTCAGTGTGCCAAGGATCCACAATTTTTGTAACTGATCCTCTTCTTTCTCCCCACTCAAGCACACTGATGCTGGACAAAAGAAATCTATGCTGTTTCTTTCTGTGGCCACAGGGCTTATGGTGCTTATGGGGCTTCTCATCCTTCTCTCCCACTGGCAGACCTCTCTGCTGGTCAATGGTTCCTGTTCTGGGCTGTGTGTAACAAGGAAGTCTCACTGCAGATGCTAGTCCCTGTGCACCAACCTAGTTCCATGATTTTCTATCACTGCTGGTTCCTTATAAGCTCTCAGATGCTAAGGCAGCATTTCCCAGTGTGTGAACCACAGAAACTAGTTCTGAAACATATTAATTAATAAGTCCTATATGAAAACAAAAAAAACTACAGTCACAGAAGTTTGGGAAATGCTGGGTTAAAAATGAAGTTAAAGAGACTACTTCCTACAGGACTTCTAGAGCCTTTAGAGCAATGTATGGGATGTGAATCTCTAAGAGGAGAGCAGCCAACCTTTACCAAATAATGCTTTTCGGGAAGGAAGTCACAGTGGACCTGGATGCATTTGTAATCCACGCAACACCAACAAAAACAACTGCATTCCTAGGGTTTCTGCTTAGAATTGTGTCTTCTACTTAGAACTCAGAAGAAACTAAAAGGCACAAAAGAGAAACTAAGTTATAAAGATGGGGGAAAAAAACATACCTGGTCAAAAATCCCCATGGCTAAAACAGGCAGTGATGTGTAAACAATGTTAAAAAGGGTGATGAACCACTGGTCATAAACAGTCTGAAAAGAAATATAACATAAAAGTGAGGAACATCATCCACAGCAGTGAAAATATTCCTGTTTAGGTAGTGAAAATATTCACATTTAGTTAAAATAGCCAGGTTTTCTGAGGTGGGTGGGAGTTGGCTTTTGGAAAGACAAATATGAGTTCTTTCCTAGACCTGCCTCTTACCAGTTCTGCTGCCTTAATGGGATACTAGACCTCTCTAAACCCCAATTTCTTTATCTCTAAAGTGATGTACACCCTTCCTGCAGTGTGGCAGTAAAGACAAAATAACACACGCAGTACCCCTAACACAGTGCAGAACATACATGAGGCTCTGGACCTTGTGGGTTGCCATTTCATGGCCCAGGTTTTCAATGGCTTATAATGAGCCTAATTATCTAAGTGGTAAAAAAAAACAATTCACTAAAATCTTCAGAGAGAAATAGAGTAAAGAGCCTGTTATTTCTATCCTGTGTTAAAATGGAGAGGTTTTTGTGGGAGAGTGGTTTAAAGTAAGATGGGCATGAAGCAAGATGCTCACTGTACTGGGCATAAACAAGGAAAACAATAAAAATATCCCCTCATACCTGTATAGAGTAAGTTACACATGACTTCCCTGCATGGGCCTTACTAAAAGTCAATGAGGCATGTGGAGCAGGCATATATCCCCATTTTGCTAATGAGTTCACACAGATGTGGAAACAGAATCTTTCGGTTATAGAGCTTATTACTGGCAAAAGCAAAAATTAAAATCTAGGTCTCCAGCTCCTAAACCAATGCCCCTTCTATCATTCTATCATTCATTCATTTATTCATTCATTCAATAGTTGTTGATAAACTACTATGTGCCAGGTATTAGGTTCTAGTCAATAATTCAGCATGATCAATCAAATAAAAATTCCTCATGAAATTTATGTTCTAATGCAGAGAGGGGAAAGAGAATAAACAACATCAAATTTACAGGGAGTAGGACTGAGTAAGTAAATTAGTTAGAAAGTAGTAAGTGCTAGAGAGGAAAGAGGATAGGGAATTGGGGAAGGCTGTCATTGTTAATACAGTGATTGAATAAAATCTCACTGAGAAGTGAATTTGAGATAAGATCTGAAGAAAATAGATCTAATATGCAGCTTTCTGAAACAGCTGGGAATGCTGGGACTTGCAGCATTCCATACTGCCAGCAGGTCCCATGAAACAACCCTGAGGGAAGAAAGCATCCACTATGCTAAGAGAACAGCAAGGTGGCCCAGTTGGGAAGAGCAGAGTGACCTGTAGAAGAATAATGGATGTCAGGAAGTAAGAAGAACAATCCTGTGTAGCCAAACATGGCTTATTACACAAGTGAAAGTAGAAGACACTCTTATTGTGCCACAGAAGCATTAGAGGACTTTAAGCAAAGGAGCAACCTGGTCTTATTTACATTTTAACAGGATCACTCTGGATACTATGCAGAAAAGAAACTGAAGGCAATGGTGAAGTGGAAAAGCTTATGACTCAAAATAACTGTTTCTAATAACAGATTTTAAGTTCTCTGCATGGTAACTTCCCTCTGTTACTGTCTGATTCCTTTTATTTTCATCATCTGGTCTGAATTCAGCTGTAAGGATTTAGAAACGGGGACTATGTCCAATGACATGCTGATAAACGTTTAACAACAGGTTCTTTAAAAAAAAAAAAAAAAAGCCTTGATCTGTAGCATTTGCCAATTTCCATAGTGTAAATATTCCTCCATGACTGATTTCAAGCAGTGATGCCACTGAATGTGGAATTGAGATGTACTCACAATTATACAGTATTTCTACCATACGGACCAATATAACCTCAAGAGCATAAATAGTCAAACATGGGAAAATAATTAGAAAGGGATTAGTTTTGAGTATATTAACTGTCTTTTAGTTTTAATATTATTTAAATTATAAATTTATATAATTTTAAATAATGGCTATATTTAACCAATGGCTCACAAAATTCCTGAAAATTTAACAGTCAGTGCTTGTGAATCAGTATGGACCAGTTCTAAGGTACCACAGCCTAGGTCCATGCTAGGAGCAAAGTGGTGCAAGATAGCAGCAGCCACCTGAAGGATAATGCACTCAGTGTGGCAAGAGAGAACCTGCAGAAGGGCAAGGCAGTAGTCCACTAGTCAGGCATCCATGAGAACAGACTGGAAAAGCTGGCTGGCACTTCCTGGAACCCCTTGGATATTTAGCAGATTGAAACAAGCCTGAATTTATCATACAGGATAGGGGGCATGTGCCATAATAATTGATTTATACCAAACTTTCTGCTGAAGATAATGAAAAAAGCTGAGAAAAAACAAAAGCATCTTCATCAAAGTATCGGTGAACTAACAAGACAGTGGAGAATGATCTGTCAAGATCAAGAAAAGAATTAGAACTTCATAACTATCTCAAGGCCTAGGATAATGTTATCCTCCTCCAGACCTTATGTTTATTTCCTTCTAACAGCTACTGAGGATGGTATGATATTTTCCTCATACCTGATGAAGGCCTGATATTTTCTGGGCTAGCCAAGTGTCCTGCTATGACAGAGCCTGTTACCCCATTGCTGGGCAGCTACCTTTGGATCCCAGCCCAGAATAGGAAGGGTTTCACCATGATCTCTACCCATGATGGCACTGAACCTTCTCCCTTCGGCCCAGGAAACTACTGAAGGCACAGCTCACTCTGTCAGTTGCCTCCTGTAGATTATCAACACTCCCTGGTTCAGAGCAGTGCAACTGTACAGGGTGCCAGCCCAGAACAGCAGTTGTGACAGGGTCCCAGTCTCCAACTCCTATCTACCCTCAAAAGTCCACCAAAACTGCAGCTCAGCCCCTGTATCTTCCTTCTGGTGAGTGAATGTGTCCAACTCTACTTCTAGATACATATGCCCACAAAATGTCTATCTTTGTGCAGGGGGATACACATAAAAATCCTCATAGCAGCATTGGTCATAGAAATCCCCAAACAAAAACAACCAAAACATCTTACAAGTGTGGGATAAAGAAAGACATTGTCATATGCTGATGTAACAAAATACTACAGAATAATGAAAAGCAAGGAATGATAACTATATCCAAAAATATGAATAAAAAACATACAATATTGAGCAAAAGAAGCCATATACAAAGGCATAATTCCATTTAAAAATAGTGCAAAAGTATGAAAACCTATTCCTATGTTGTTTAGAAACTCCTACTCATATGATAAAATTATAAAACAGAAAAACAGTAACTATAAAATGGCAGGGTAATAGTTACTTCTAGAGGATCGGAAAAGAGGTCTGATGAAGAATAGTAAGGGAGCTCTTAAATGTTTGGAAATGTTATATTTCTGGCACTGAAACATGGTACATGGGTGTTCATTTCAGAACAATTTAAGCTGACATTTATAAACTTTTTAATCAATTTGTTAAACTTTACAAATGATAAAAAATTTAAAAATTTAGCATGTGACCTTCTTTTACAGTAGCCCAGTGAGACTTTAGAGAGTAGGATATCAAAACTCCTGATGCTCCAGCCACACCCCAGACCAATTAAATCAGTAGCCCTGAGAGAAAGATCTAAGTTTTGGTCACTTTAAATTTTTCCCAGGTAATTCCAATGTGAAGCCAAGATTGGAAATTACACTCGCTTCATTTTTTTTTTTTAAAGCAGAGCAGCTAACACAAATCTTCAACTCATTGATGATGGCATCTGACTTTCATTCCTCAAAGATATCAATTAATTTCACACTTGCAGTATAGAAAATAAGAGGCAGAAAGCAGCTGAACTGGGGCTTTGTAGCTCAGGGCAGAGCCTGGCACTGTCAAATCACTTCATCCTCCATCTCTTCTACCACCCAACTTCAACTCACTAAGAAAAGACAGTTTCCGGTATTAAGAAGAGAAAAAGAATCTGAGAAATTATGGCATACTCAACTGTGAACAGCTGAGAATCTGGCAGAGAGTACCCTCCTCATCACAAACTGGCTAGCATTACAAGCTACACTTATTCAACAACTATAAGCATTTGTCAACTGGCACTCCGATTTGAAGCTTCATTTCACAACAGGAGCAAAAGAAGACAGGAAGGAAAAATCAGAATAAGATTTCAATGAGTTTCTGCAATTTCTCACAAGAGTTTTGCTGCCACTTAATATCACAATAACAAAAAGAAAGAAAAATAGTTTATATTTACTAAATATCTACTCTGTACCATTTTAAGTGCTTTACATATATCAGCTCATTAAATTTTAACAACCCCATGAGGTAGGTACTATTAACAGTTCCCAGTTTCTAAGTGGGGAAACTGAGGCTTATCAAGGTTAGGCGATTGCTCAATGTCATACCTTAAATACAAAGGTTTTCTCCATATTGTGCTTATTTCATATTGCATGCCTGTGTCAAAACATCTCATGTACCCAATAAATACATACACCTACTATATGCCCACAAAAAAATTTTTTATATTATCTATTTTTTAAAAACCCAAAGGGAAAAAAAGATTTTCTTAGTTGAGAATCTTTTAGTGGTTCCGTAATGTCAAAACTACTTTCACAATAATACTAAAAAGTTACGTATTTGCCCTTTCACCCCATTCTTTCAGGAGTGTATATATGTGATATCACAGCGGGCTAAATGCAGATGATAGGAGAAGCCAGCTGACTTCTATTATGTTAACTAGTTTTACAAAAGTGTAAAACAATGGCATTCTTCTCATTAACTTGTTTTTGTTTGGGAAAATATAATCATTTTGCTTAAAAATATCTTACTTTCATAAATGTGTCATGGGTTATTTTTAAACAAATTAATAAAAGAGTTATTTAGAATTTTTTTTCTTCATTTTCATTCCTAAGATGATAAATATTGATAATGGGGTCCTGAGATCATAAAGTTTGAGAATTGCCAGCCAAGCAAGTGTCAGAGTGAAGTCCAAACCTATGGACCTTAGTGCCCACAACACTGACCACTGCAAGAAACCACCTCTCTCAATCAGTGTTGTCATTTGGAAAGCTTCCTTGGCCTGGCATGGTGG